CCCTAAAATAAATACGAAAATACGGCTATCCAAGTTCCAGTTGAAATTTAAAAAGAAAGAGAAATTAACGTAGGGCCCCTAAAATAAATACAAAAAAACGGTTGTTTTATCCAAAAAAATCACCAATAAGATCGGTCAACTCGCGGTATTTTTTTTTTTCAAGTTTGTCTTGCCCTTGTTCCAAAGATGCCATAGGATATCATTTTAATTTTAATTTTTTTTTGTTATTTCTTGAGCAGGGCCCTGCCCTGAGTTTAAGGGACAGTTCATGTTTAAGGCGGCCACAACTTAAGTTTTGAAAAACTTTTGTTCGAGGTTAGAATCTTAGGACCGCAATTTAATTTTTGAAAAACTTTGGTCCTAGGTCAGAATCCTTGATCCAAAACTTATTTTTTGAAAAACTTTGGTCTGATGTCAAAATCCTCATGCCCCTATCCTTTTGCTTATACCAAATGTGGTATGATGTTTAGATCCTCAAACCCCCCTGCGATCAATTTAACAAGCAGAGGGGTTTTCTTTTTACCTTCCGTTTGTTTTTCCCCTCTCCCTTCTTTCTCTCTCTCTAAACTGTTGACCGGCCCAAGTAAGAATGATTTCTGGCTACGGTACCATTATTCCGGCAAGTTATATTTGTTCGCTGATCTAGGCATCATCCCTCTAAACTTTTTAAGATGAGAAAGATGGAAAAAGAGCATACATGTTCAAGTCCACTTAAAAGGGCTCATTAGCCATTAGCACGTGGCCAGTGTGAACAGTTATAGAAACCATTAACTGTACTTTCATGTATAAATTCACCACTATAAATCAAGTTTGTGGATCAATAAAAACAATAATTTTACATGGTATCAAAGCCAGGTTAGAGAAAGAAACTTGCTCTCTTTCTTCTTTCTCTGCTGGTGCTGTCGAAGCCTGCTCTCTCTCGGCGGGAGGCCTTTCTGCTATTGGTGCCTTCTCTGTTTCTCTCTCAGAACTGTCTCTCTTGGTACTGTCCTTCTTTTTGTCAATCTGCTCTCCTTGGTACTCTCTCTTGGTATTGTCCCTCTCTGTTCCTTCATAGGAAATCAGTGTCCCTCTGTCTTGGTACTGTCCCTTTCTGTTTCCTTCATAGGAAATCAGTTCTCACTCTCTCATCTCACTCATACTCTCTTCCTTTGGAAAGTCTCTGAAACCACTTCGCGACCTTCTTCTTGAAGATCCATTCACTGATAAGTCCAGCTTCCGCCTTGCCTCTCTGCTTCGATCCATCTTTTTTTATCCAAGCCCTCGAAGGCCCTTGATCGAGCTACTTGGCTTCTCTCGCGTGATATACTGTTCATACACCTCCCTCACGTTCATTTCATCTCCTTCAAAGTACACAGTATTTTTTTGTTTAGAGAGAGAGAAAGGTGGAGGCCTTTTATTTGTGAGCATAGAGATTTGCATGTGGATATAAATATGGACATCCCCGCTGCCATCTTCACATGGCCCTTCGTTGCAGAAGATTGACACAGCAGTTAATGGTAGGCCTTCAATTTATTGGGTTCTCTCTTTCCCTCTCCTAGGGCTGTTTTTGGGCAATCAGGGGTAATCAGATTTTTGGGTCTTGGGTTTTGGGGTAATTTCCCTCTAGCCTCTAGCCTTCTCTTTTATTGCAAATCTCCATTTTTCTCTCTATCGGTCTCAGACCTCCCAATTTTTTTTCTCTCTCTCTCAATCCCCTGTCCAAGATGTTTTCCTTTTTTTATAAGCTTGAGAGACCATATTATTTCACTATAACACCTGAGCTATTTACCCATAACCTTGCATCTCTCCTGCTATTTGTCTCTCCTTATTCTTTTCCCTTCCAATGGAAAAATTAGAGTCCTTCCAACGTGTACCCATCAAACTCAATGACAGCAATTACGCCTTTTGGGCCTCATTTATGCGCAATGTCATTCATGGAAAAGGCTTCCTTGGATATATAGATGGGACTCAAGAAAAACCTAATGAGTCAGGAAAAATAGAAGAATGGGGCATTAATAATGCTCAAGTTATAGTATGGCTGATGGGCTTATCAGAAAGTAATATAGGGATCAATCTAAGCACTTTCAAAACTGCTCTAGAAGCATGAAAATTTTTGATGAAATTTATAATCACACTAACTGGACACGAAAGTACCAGTTAGTACAGTAACTTCGTTCCCTCAAACAAGGAGAGCAGTCAATTCAGGATTTTTAGTCCTACATGAAGACACTTTGGGATGCTCTAGCACTAATGGAACCTGTAAAAATAATTGTCAAATCTCGAGAGAAATTTTAAGTTATTGAATTCTTAATGGCAGTCCGTCTAGAATTTGAGAGTATCAGAAATAGCCTAGTCCACGGAAGCTCTCTCCCTACTCTGAATCAAGCTCTTTCTGAGCTAATTGCAGAAGAAACTAATATCAAATCTCTTAACTCAAGTGTTAAAGGAGACAACTTTTCTGGCAACCCGACTTCAGAGGACCAATGTGCTTAAACAGAATTAGCGCAAATTCGTTTCATATTCCTACCAAGAACGTGCAATCTGTCAGATGTCACAATTGTAAAGAATTGAGACACCTCAAGTACAACTGGCCAAACAAGAAGAAACCCATATTCGCTGTTGTTGCTGATACAAGTCAACCATTGCTCAAGAACCCATCAACTCAAATTGGAGGTCCCAGTCTTATTCCTGCTTTACCTCCTGTGACATTTACACTATAACAAGTATAGTTTATGCTTTCCCAAACACATCTGTCTCTGAACCAGCTCCCTTCTTTTTAGGTAATTCTGTTTCTACCTCTTGGCTGATTGACTCAGGAGCTTCTCACCATATGACCTCCAATGAGTCCATCCTAGTTGATTGTAACCCCTTAATTGATACTGTCTATACTGCTGATGGAGTCACTATGAAAGTATAAAAAATAGGCTCTATATCTCTTACCTCTTACCCTTTTGGTAAATTAAGGGTTTCTAATGTTTACCATATTCATTCTCTTACCATGAATTTATTTTCCGTTGGTCAGCTTACCCGTTCCAATTATAATATTGTTTTTTCTCCATCTTTTTGCTACATATAGGATCGGCAATCAGAGCAATTGATTGGGACTGAGCGTAAAGTTGGTAATTTGTACTATTTGGACTATTTGCATATGCTATGTCTATGCTGTTTCTACTGTTGATAACACATCCCTGTGGCATCAACGCCTTGGTCACATCTCTGGATCTCGTTTACAGTTTTTATTTTCTCGCAATGTGCTTTGTACAATTAGAAATAAAACTTTTATTGATGTCCAACATTGTGCAATTTTCAAATTCACTAAGTCTCATGCTTTACCTTTTTCTCGAAGTACTTATGTTTCCCCTTTTATGTTCGATCTTGTTCATACTGATGTGTGGGGTCTGACACCTATTCCATCCAAAGGAGAGTCACGCTACTTTGTAACTTTTATTGATGACCACACTCATTATACATGGGCTTTCTTTATGAATAATCGCACTTAACTTTTTAAAATCTTCACTCAATTTTATCCGTATATAGAAATCCAATTTTCCACTAAAATCAAAGCCCTGCACTCAGATTCTAGTGGGGAATATGTCAGTGGGTTGCTTCAACAATTTTTGGCTCGTCACAACATTCAACACCACAAAACCTATTCATATACACCAGAACAAAATGGAGTGGCTGAACGTAAAAATCGTCATATCTAGGAAACCACAAAGTCCCTTCTTTTTTCTGCGTCTGTCCCAAAAGAATTTTGGGTAGGAGCTGTTCGTACTTCAGTCTTCCTCATCAACATTATGCCATCCTCTATTTTATCTGGTGAAACACCTTTTGAAAAATTGTTTACACAACCACCCGATTATTCCCTCTTACGTGTATTTGGCTACACTTGCTTCGTTTTGTGACCCTTGTGACCCACAAATAAGAGAGATAAGTTGTCTCCAAAGTCGATCAAATGTTGCTTCATTGGTTATCCTGATCATAAAAAATGATATAGGTGTTATGACCCTTTGACCAAAAGACTTTGGGTATCTCGACATGTGATGTTTTCTGAGCATATTTCATTCGTTGCTAATAACAATAATCCATCACCTTCTCATCGTTCTTTCTTGGTCACCTTCTCTGATTTTGTTCTTCATTCCTCTAGTCATTCTACTCGTGTGGCTCCTTCTGAAGTCAAGGAAGGAACTCCACCATCTCATGTTGAGAGTCCTGATCAAAACTCTGCACTTGTTGATCCTCTATCGCTCCCTACTCTTAGACGGAGCACCTGGGTATCTGCTCCACCTTCCCACCTTGCTGACTATAAAACCTTCTTACCTCAACACCAAGCTTTCCTTTCCTCTATTCACTCTTTTTCAGAACCTCGTACTTATAAAGATGCTGCAAGTCAACTTGAGTGGCAACATGCAATGACTGATGAGTTGAATGCTCTCGAGCGTATGCATGCTTGGCACCTGACACCTCTCCCGAAAGGAAAAACTTATGTAGGTTGTCGATGGGTATATAAAATTAAAACCAATGCAGAAGGTACTCTGGAATGCTACAAAGTCTGCTTGGTGGAAAAATGTTACAATCAACAATATGGTATTGACTTTACAGAAACTTTTGCTCCAGTTGTTCATATGACTACAGTTCGTACACTAATCTCAGTGGTTTCTATTCATCAATGGCCTCTCCATCAATTGGATGTAAAAAATGCTTTTCTTAATGGTGATCTTGATACATATGTATATATGAAGTTACCTCCTGGTGTTGTGGATCCTCACAACCGCGTGTGTAAACTTCAACGGGCTTTATATGGACTCAAACAAGCACCTCGTGGTTGGTTTGAAAAAATTCGTAATGAAATTCTTTCGATTGGATTTCGACAAAGTCATCATGATCCAGCGCTCTTTGTGTTTGAAACTTCTACAAGACAGGTTCTCTTGTTACTATATGTCGACGAGATGATTATTTCTGGTAATGATATGAGCACAATTCATAAAATCAAATAAAGGCTCAATAGCGCCTTTGAAATGAAAGATTTGGGTTTCTTGTGGTATTTCCATGGACTCAAAGTTGCTTATTCTCCTCGTGGCTATCTGTTGTCACAGCAAAAATATGCTTCAGAAATTGTTTCCCATGCTAGACTCCAGAATGCTACAAAAAAGGTTGATACCCCTCTTAAGGTCAATGCCAAATTTCGAGCTACCAATGGTGAAGCTCTTCCTGACCCAACCTTTTATAGCCAACTGGTTGGGAAACTGATATATCTAACCATTTCACGCTCCGATATTGCTTATGCAGTACATATGGTTAGTCAATTTTTGAGTGCCTCGTGTTCTGTACATCTCGCTGTTGTTTTACGCATCATTCATTATATCAGTGATACTCATCACCAAGCCTTATTCTTCTCCTCTTCTACCTCACTTGAGCTCTGGGCATATACCGACTCAGATTTTGCAGGAAATCCAAGTGATCGCAAATCTACCACATGATTCTGCATTTTTCTTGGTGATTCTCTTATCTTTTGGAAAAGCAAGAAACATAAACAAATTGCTCAATTAACTATGGAGGCTGAATACCGGGCTATGGCACAGGCGACCATAGAGATTGTTTGGCAATGTTGGCTGCTCGCAGACATGGGCGTCACTATATCCACTCCTACTCCACTTTATTGTTACAATAAGAGTGCCATTTATATTTCTAAAAATTCAGAATTCTATGAGTGCACGAAACATATAGACATGATTGCTACTATGTTCGACAAGAATATCTCGCAGGCACAATTTCCTTACCATATGTGCTTACTGCAGCATAACTTGTCGATTTCTTCACTAAGTCTCATCCCTCGCATCCTTTCTCATAGTTTGTTTCCAAACTCTCCATGATTTCTCTCAAATCATCTCGAGTTTGAGGGGGAGTGAGAACAGTTATAGAAACCATTAACTCTACTTTCATGTAGAAATTCACCACTGTAAATCAACTTTGTAGATCAATAGAAACAATACTTTTACAGCCAGTGGGTTGCAAGAAAAATTGAAGCCCGTCAGACAGACAAGATGGATCTCGCTCCAAAAGATATTGCCAATGATATTCAGTAGATTCTTTCATCCATGCATGTATGCATTTTTGTATGGTTGTAGGCCTCTTGAATTCTTGGATGGCACATTCCTAAAGGGAACATATAGGGGGATACTATCGGCGCTATTAGTAGAAATTCCATTGGTTGTATATTCCCCATTGCAAGCCATGGTGGAGATAGAGGAGACTGATAGCAACGTTTGTTTCTTAACTGTTAACAAAAGCAGTTCAATGAAACGCAAGATCGGCCTTGCCTGACAATTATTTCAGATCGACAAAAGGGTCTGATGCAAGAAGTCTGACATGTTTTCGCAGATTATTATTCGGGATATTGTATGCACCATATGGTAGAGAACGTTAAGAGACGATGAAAGAATCATGTACTGCTGGCATTGTTCTGGAATGCGGCCCTTGCACTATGACTAGAAGATTTTGAAGTCGAGATATAAAAAATTCAGGATACTGATGTTGCGGCATATAAATGGATAATGAAGAGTCCACCTAAATGTTTGGGCAAATGCATATTTTCCTATAGCGCGATACAATCAACTCAAGTCAAATCTTGCAGAGGTATTTAATAGTTGGATTAAAGATGATTGCGACAAGCTGATAATTGCATTATGTGAAGGTATTAGAGTTCAGGGCCATTTGGGTACCTGAAAATCTATTTCAGGCAAACATATTGCAAAGAAATATGAGATTTACCATGGGTGCACTTCAACCGTAGATAAATTAGACAAGATTTCCCCAAAATACATCAAATCTATTACGTAAGGATGACTGTGAAATCCATTACGCAGTAATCTAACTACCCAGCCCAAAAAAAAAATCATCTATCTCCCGCGATTCTCCCTCTCTCCTGTGCACATCCATTCTCCCACGATTCTCCCTCTCTCCTGCACACATCCATTTCTACTTTCTCTCTAAGAGCACATCCATTTCTACACTCGCACATCTATTTCTACATCCCTCTATCCCCAAATTATCTACACTCGCACATCCATTTCTACATCCCTCTATCCCCAAATTATCTACACTCGCACATCCATTTCTACATCCCTCTATCCCCAAATTATCTACACTCGCACATCCATTTCTACATCCCTCTATCCCCAAATTAACGACCTTGCCCAAAAAAAATCGTCTTTCTCCCACGATTCTTCCTCTCTCCTGAGCACATCCATTCTCCCGTGATTCTCCCTCTCTCTTGCACACATCCATTTCTGCTTTCTCTCTAAGAGCACATCCATTTCTATATCCCTCTATCCCCAATTTGGGTTGTAGCCCTCATTTCAAACATCCTTCTATCCCCAATTTGGGTTGTCGCCCTCATTTCAAATATCCCTCTATCCCCAATTTGGGTTGTAGCCCTCATTTCAAATATCCCTCTTTCCCCAATTTGGGTTGTAGCCCTCATTTCAAACCATTAGCTCTCATATTATTATGTAATCGCCATTTCTACATCCTTATATCCCCAATTTGGGATGTAGCCTTCATCTGACGCCATTAGCTATCATGTTATCGCTCTTCAAGCCTTGAAGAAATTTTAGGTATATTTTGTGTTTTTTTAATTTTTCTCATCAATGCAAAAAGGATTTGGATTCATGGGTTCTTGCAGACGATTTCTGAGATCACCTCAGATGAAGACCAGACCTCAGCAATCCAAAAGGGATAAATTATAATGATTACTAAATCTTTTGAAAAAAAAAAATTGAGTTTTTTTGGGATTAGGGTTTAGATCGAGACAAAAAAGTGATAAATTATATTTTATTTAAATTATAATGATTATACTTTTGGAAAAAAAAAACGATTTTTTGTGATTAGGGTCTAGATACAGATAAATGAGAAATTACTTATAATATATGGGCTGTATTTTTTTTTTCACATTGGCCTCCTCCAATATCTCAATCTAAGTTTTAAAATACTTTACCATTTCACAATAATTTGTTTTTAAAATACATCACTATTTACTTAAACAACAAATTAACGATATTTAAAGGTTGTGACTAAAATAATTCACTCAATGTTTATGACCCATATTAATTCACACTATTAAGTTATTATTCTTTGAGGCATGACAAACATGGTATAGTCATGCTATCTATACACAAGTATTTCAACATTAAATAGGAAGGTCTACAAAGAGACCATTTATCTTTTCTGAATGGAGGTCACAATCATTCTCAAATATTAGATGTCAAATTGGATGGCTTGAGGTGAGTCAAGAAGTGAAATTTCTTTTTTTGAAATTTTGTATATATTCATTGACATTAGTACAACCACCCATTTTGAAATTTATAGGACAAGAATGATTGTGCGTACAAAAGATAAATGGTCTCTTTGTAGACAATTCCATATATCGCTATGTCCAGTAAGAGCAATGTAAGAGCAAATTTAAGGTCCTATGTAAACAATTCCAGAGCAAATTTAAGGTCCTACGTAAACAGTTCCATATTAAACTGTGTAATCTATCTGCAATATATTTACCATGTTGCATCTAAATACTACCCAAATAGTAACAATCCATTTGCATGTAATGTATTATACAGTATTACACCAACAATATATTTCACAGACAATATATTTCCAGGTATCTAATTGACCCCTTAAAGTTAATGAAGAAGTTTGCAAAGAGAAAGGAGAAGGCAGAAGAGTGGACTGGTGTTCTAGTGCCAAAGATACAAAAAGAGATTGAGTTGCAGATTGAACAATCGAACTTTCTGCACCACATGTTATATGGGAGTCAGGTAGGCAGTACGAGATCGTTGAAGATAAGAGGTATGCAGTGGATCTGAAATCAATGGCATTGCTCATGTTTGGTTTGGAAGAACAATGGGTTGTCCTGCAATCACACTATTGTTGCTATCAGCCATAGCCGCCTTCCTGTAATGACATTTTTCCCTCCTTTTTATTTATATAGAAGCTTATCAGAGGGCTTATTCAGCTGAGTTTCATCCCGTACATGATGATTTCACTTTGCCTGGAGTTATCGGTAGGGTGGTGCTCCCCCCAAAGATAGTGCGGCTCCCCGGCAGACCAAAGAAACAGAGGAGACGTATTGAAGAAAAAATCACCAGGGGATACTTCTGCAAGCACTGCAATGACAAGGACCACAACAGGAGGTTATGTAGAGACCCGATTGATGAAGCTATGCCTGAGATATGCAGAGAACCATTTGATGAATCAAGGCCTAGGGCATCTGGGCAAGGGTGCGACCTTCATGACTCATCTGAACAAGAGAGCAAAGATTAAATTCATTTGAACAAGAGAGTGACTTTTACATGCGACAATGAAGTCAGCGAGTCTGGGGATTCTGTCCATTGTAGTTTCGATGAAGAATGAAACCTATGTTTTTTTCAGAAGCCTTTTATTGTAGTCCTCATGTACTTGTATTTGCATCAATCAATGAATGAATGTCAAATATTTTGGTTTGTATTATATTGTGCAAATGAATGAATGAATGTAATATATTTTGGTTTCTTATATTGGCTAAAGTTAGATGAATGAAGGATTCCACTGGGTGTGAATTGCCACATTATTGTCTATCAAGAAGTCACCCAAAGATGCCGAATTTATATACAAAATAATCCAACATTTTTTCTTTTTTAGGAAGTTCTTGAAATATTTTTTATATTCTCGTTGTCCGCCTTAGAGAACCTCGGCCTCGCCCTAATTTACTCTCCCGAGTCTCAGTTGACTCGGGCGACACGCTGATATGGATTGTGAAAGTATTCCAAAACCTTAGTTGAAGAAACAATTCAAATAATTTGGAGAAAAGGGCAGCAAAAATAAACTTGTTCTAATCCTTGACTCGAAATAAATTTCATTGACCATTCCCCGTCCATATTATCGAATGGATGAAGTTTATATAAGGCCTAGGATTTATGAGAAAAATGTAAAGCCTCATCTCAAATCCTTGTCCAAAAAGCAATTTCGGCACTGAAAATCTTCGTGATGGTTTTAAAATCAATTTCCAATATCTACTATGAATTTTGATGCTCAAAAAATTGTACAGATCTTGCGAATCAATGAACATTTATTTTTAGGATGAAATAAATGTTTTAGATAATGTATTACAATATTTTTAGAAATTCAAATACTAAATTTATTACACAACAGCTGCTCAAGGCCAAGATGGTCGACTTGAAACTTTTTCGATGCCAGAACTGCAATTTTTAGCAAGTTTTAAAGTGAGCTTTACTTATTTTGATAGGGCTGTAGAATTCATCTTTTTTCACAAAAAAAAAAATGGGATCACAGTGCTTGTTAAAATTGTTCCTCTCAGCACAAGTATTACCTTTAATTAGGCTATAAGACACAACAAACAAATAAAGAAAAACTCAACAAACAAAACTGCTCTAAGAGGCTTTCCCATTACCTTGTTTATCTATATATATTACTGTTTGCTTTTCTA